TGGGAGGTGACTTCTCAAAAATATATTTTCTAACAGCGTGCAGCTGTGATGGGTTGTGTACAAGCTAATAGTGTGTCAGAATGGTAAATATTTGTACTTCTCATCCAACCACAATTAAATTCACTCTATCCAGGAGACACAATTTATCAGGATAGTATTTTTAAGTAATAACTCAGAATAAAATAGAATACTTTCTACTTCTTACCTTTTTAAAAAATGTAGTGAGTAGAAAGTACAGAAAATTGTGTAAAAATGTAATGAGAAGAAGTAAAAAGTACGCTGAAAAATAATGACTCAAGTAAAGTACAGATAACCAAAATTTCTACTTAAGTACAGTAACAAAGTATTTGTACTTAGTTACTTTACAGCTCTGGTGAAGTGAATGACAAATGAGCCATTAAGTGGAGTTTTTCACAGTTTTATTGATAAACTCAGATCTGAAAGAGGCTTTTTGCAGATGTTTCTAAGGGATCACAGCTTTCTGCAAACCCTCCATCCCTTCACACCTGCAGAAAACTGTCCAGCTGGCTGTTTGTTTTGAAAGGCAGGGGAAACACTAATTGATATTGGCAGGCATTAATAAATGACAAGCAACATTTCAGAAATTATATCCCAGTTTTTGTTTTTAAGACAGACTGGTTTAGTCATGGCTGCTGTTGGATGTGTGAGAGGATGGCTGTAAAGTTGTTAGGACGAAGGTGTGAGTCACAGTGTACTGCTGCGTTAGGTTGAAGTATTCAATTAAACATTAATACAGTGACTAAAGGAGAATTTATGAATATTAGAATAGACTTGTAGCGCAGAGCGTGATGAAGGTAGAATATTGAAAAATAAAGCTTTGTTCATGTCGCCCAGCCTTCTGTGTTTGATGGCTTTTAGCTGGAGCCTCAGTCCTCTTTTCCCTGTAAGAGATGCATCAAACCATCATACACAAGCTGTCTAACTGTTCATGATGATTTGCTTTGATTAATTTTGTTTTGTTTTTTTTTTCCTGCTGAGGAGTTGTATTTATTTTTAACGTAAAATCTGGCTTTCATTTGTCCCATATTTTGTTTTTTCCCAGTCCTGGAAGCTGACATGTTGGAGGCCAGAAGACTGGTGTTTGAAATGTGTCTTATAACTGAGTGAATGTCCAAATCACATCTCAGCTTTTTGACTGGTTTTATTTTCACACCAGATAAATTAAACTGAGATGTGATGGTTTTATTTTTAATCTTTTTTTATTTTATTTGTAATATTGGAACACTGTTGTGGTGTGATCCAATGAAAGGTGAGGTCATATTTTATAAATGAAATTGAGATGTGATATTTTTTTGTAATATTGGAACATCCACATGGTGTGATCCAATGAAAGGTGAGGTCATATTTTGGTAAATAAATCACTGAAGATGTGCACCCTGTTGTCTTTATTTCTGATTTAAAGGCAGTCAGACACTGAAAGTAAAGGTCTTCATTCAAATCTTTTGAGGTTTATCAGCAGCTGTAAAATGTTCACATAGTTATTCATCACACACCTGAAATAATTACCTCAGGTTTACCACACACTCAACTGGATTACGTCCTGGTTATGATGCCGACACTTCAGTACATCCAGAACCTGTCCTCATTCTTTTAGCCTGTTCAACCAGTTTATGTTTACTGAGCTTTGACGGGAAACGCATGAGATGAGGAGATGGGAACTTTCGTCTTTGAGCAGCTGAACCTGAAAACAAAAAGCATTCCTGATGATTTTAGGTGTGCTTTACAACCATGAAAGAACATAACCCACCCTGATAATTTTATTTATAAATGTACCACAAATTTTATGATGAATTTATTACCCTTCCACAATAATAAAGAGAGGACCCAGCTTATGTGACTGAAATTTTGGAGCTCGTTAAAATGCATTTAGGTGAATTCCTGACTGGTTTGGTTTTACCCTCCTCCCTAATCCACTATGATTCAAAATATGATGGATCGTTTCATTAAAAAATTACCTCGAACTTCTTGAAAGATTTTGCATGGTGTCCTTCACCATTTTATATTATTTTTTAACCATTCAGGTTTTCATCTGATAACCCTGGGACTGCATGTCCGTCTGCGTCCACATCCTGGGAGGTTGGCGACAGCCCCATAAACTTGCTTTGCTTTTAAAAAAATATTGGCAGCTGTGGTCATGAGAACATGAAGCTACTTGGAGATGGTTTAGTAACCTTCATGGATTCTAGAAACTTCTTTTTGAACTCCTCAGTCAGCTCTCACTTTTCCTCTCTCTGCTCTGTGTTCAGTGTTGTGATCATTTCATAATACCCACGGGGAAACCTGTTCTCAAGATAGGCTGTGTGTCTGGTAAAGAGCTAGAAGGTACTTGTGATGCTTTTTATAGTAGTATCTTTAACAATACCAACAAATCTGTCCATACCCACCCCACCGAGAAAAAGCTGGCCATCCTAGTGC